ATTAGGCAAGAGGACACAGACCTACCACCGCTGCGAGATAGAGGGAGGTATTTGGGCTGTGTGAAGTGCTGTGATCTGCTCCTCACCCCAGCCTCTCTGTGAGCGGGTTTAGGATGTTTGGGTCAAATACAGTGACAGTCAGGACTCTGTTTGTTGCTTCAAACCTTCACTTTATTCCTCCTCGAGGGCTTTCTGTTTCGCTAGGCGACATATTCATGTTACAGCCCCCTTAAGCACAACCTTCAGTAGTTGGTTTTCTCAATTCCCTCTAGATCATCAGTCCTTTAGGCAGGATGTGAAATAAAAGCATGCGTTGCTTGTTGTGGGGCTTCTTTCACTGTAGATGGAAGAGGAAAGACTCAGATTGTCTGAACTGTTCAGTAGCTTTCGGGTTTGTGCTGCCATGGTGTGTTTGGCTGCTCAGGGTTGTCCAGTTTGGAACGAGAGCTGCTTGGGATTCAGTTCCATCCTGTAGCTGTGACTGTGCTGGTGTTGTCACTGTTTTTTATCAGCCTCCCCTTCTGTGAAGCAGGGGTGTGGGGTTTGCTCAGCCTTTCCACACAGTTTCTATTACACTGACAAAAATCATAGTTGTGCTAAAGCTGCTTGTTCTTCATACACACAAACTAGTGTAAAATCCTCACCAAATTCCCAAATGGTGGAGCTCAGAGGCTCCTGGGTGGGGTTTTCTATCCCTTATGAAGTCAGTGATGGTGCAGTTCTTTTCTGAACAGTTGCTTTAACTTTCTTCCATATCCACATATTTAAGACCCATCTTCCTGCTGTTGAAATGTTGGGTTTGAACAGCTTCCGAGTGCAGGATGAGCTCCTCAACAGCTATTCCAATTAGATGGAAATGTGTTCCACTTTGTGGTGTTCTGTTGCGTGTACGTAAGGTAAGGATGTCCCTGGGAATTGTAGATGCTGGAGTAGAGCTGAAACTCACCTTTTTTGCCTAACTTTTTGGGAATATGGCTTTTCCAGCCCCTGCAGTGGTTATCCCTTCTGCCCTGCTACTTACTTGGCATTCAGGAGCAAAAACATTCTGCAAATGCTGGAAGTTGCCTGGTGTTTGCTTTGGAGTAAAGCTGAGTTGGGGTCTGCTGTATTGGAGAGAGGCAGTGAGGTGTCAGGAATATTCTACAAACACAGCTTGTGTATGGATTAAAATAAGCCTTGTAATAAGGATGTCAGAGTGTGTGCCAGGAACTTTGCTGCTTAAGAACCCTGCTTAGAAAAGCAAGCAGGGTTTTGCACATCAAGGAATATGTTTATAGCTGTGTATACGTTAGTTATCTTTCCTAATTGTTTCCTCCTCATGAGCTGAACAAACTTCATTCATCCAAGTGAGTTTGTTTCGTGGTGTTTCTCACCTTGTGAAGAAGAGCTCGAAGTGGATACTTGAGGCAGTTGACTTACTCTGGCTGAGGAAAGGGTTAACCAAAACGTGCACCTTTTGCACTAATATACCATTGGAGGAAATACCTTTCTGACCAGCGTGCAAATCATGCTCTGAAACAGAAGCATCAGTGGTCTGCATTAGCCATTAGGTGCTTAAAATACCCAAACCTGAAACCACCTGATTGAAGTACCCATGAAGGAAGCAGTCAGGATGGAGTGCTCCGAACAGTCCCACCACTGTAGGGTTGGAGGATGAGGTGGGGGCTGGATAAAACCCTCACTTACTGACTTCCTTCTTATTACTGCTCTATCCTTTTTGGCTTCACTCTTCTACTTTTTTTAGTTTTTTGAAAGAGTTGATCAAATCTGGATTGTGAGATTTATACTAAAAAGTAAAATGGGATGTTACCTGAGGCACTGAGGGCTGGTACCCTGAGTTACACAAACACAGTGAGGCTGTTCACAGAGCACCTCCTGTGTTCTCTTTCAGTTTGCATCAGCTGAAGCGTTTACTCCTAGGGTATTCCTGACTCCTTACATGTGTATTCTGACTCTTAGGTGCTCTTCCCCTCAGTTGCTCCCATGCCTATACTTCCCTTTAAAAATTCCCTCATGATTCTTCCTCTTTCTTTGCCTCCGTCCCTTTTCAAATACTGACTTTGGGAACTTTCAGAAAGATCCCCAAGTTAAAAAGCCAAAACCCAATGTGAAAGTCTGGGGGGAACCATTCTTCAGGGCAATTCCCAGTGTGATATGCTCTCACTTCTTTAATCTTCTGTCTTTTTTAGGTGCTTTTTATGTTGTTTTTTTTCTTGCTAATAGATGCACAAGGGCAGAGTCTTTTGCTCGGATTTCTTTTGTGACTCTCTTTTCAGTGGCATTTTAGGATCTTGTAGGAGTTAATGGCACTTGGACTGGTAAGCATCATACCAGCAACAGGCACCTGGGGTTTTTCAGGTTGCTTTTTAATCTTCACTACTGGAGTAGCACATACATCTGTAGCTAAATTCTTATATTGTTTTTGATATGACCAGACTCCTCGAGCCTGGTACCCTCTAAGGTTCTTGCTCTTTAAGTGCTGGTTGGCTCTTCCATGTTCCTTCCATACCAGCAACTGTTTCTGTAGCATGATGGAGAGAAGATGGTGAGGCAGGCAGATGGACAGAGGTGGAAGTAAGGGGAAATGAAGAAGGGAAATGCAGAGGAAATGGAAAGAGCAACAGACGTATTACTGCAAGAAGCATTCTGAACTAGAAACATGCACCTAGTGCCCTCTTGGAAAGGTGCATCCTGTTGTATTAAACAAACTGTACCAGCTGGAATACTGTGTTGTGGCTGCATCACTTTTACAGGCATGGCAATGAAAACTTACCCTCTGTTGAGTGTTTGCGTCTTTTTCTGTGTCTTGTTGTTAAAATTGTTTGAAATCCTCATACAAAGTGCTGGGGTTTTTACAGTGACTTCTTCAAAGCACTTCTATCTGGAAGCACGGGAGTTCTAGTGATAACATTTGTGTGTTAAACTCTAACTTAAAACAAGCAAAATAATTTCTCCTTTATGCTTATTTATAGAAATATATCATAGTATTTCTTGTTTGAAATGGCAAAGTTGTAAATGTGCCGCTTGTAATTATGTGACACTGAAGGCTTTTATATGAAGTTATAGTTTAGATTTTAATCTGTGCCTCTTATTCTTCCCATTCCCAAATGCAGGATGTCTGATGAACCCTTTGGAGCCTGTCAGCAGAGCCCATTCTCCTCTCTTCATTAAAACATGCACTTTCCAGCTGTGAAACATCGCGACATTTATTTTTGCTAACAGGAAACATTTTCAACTGTTGGTAAGTTCTCAGCATTTAAAGATACTTTGTAATGTGGTAAGAGAAAGAGTATCTCGATTTGGCACTGTCATACAGGCTTAGAGTTCTTTCAAGAAAGGCTCATTTAGGAACCTTACCCAGCTGCAGAAGTTGGAGGAATACCTCTGGCTGTGCTGCTCCTACCTTGTAGCAGAGGTGCCTCCATTAATCATGGTCACTTGGTTCTCTTCTGTTCAACTACAAGAGGAAAGCAGGTGCAGAGCTCAAAGCAAGAAGGGAAAATGCAGAGTAGTGCAAAATAATGCAGGTCTGAGCTTTGCTGTTCTTACTGGACTGTTCTGGCTCATTCTGGGCTCTGGGATAGAGGTGGAGATGAGAGTTTTAACAGTCACAGCCCTAAGTTTGAGTGAAAATACCGCTTACTTTTACCCTTTGCTAACAAAGTCGTTTCCCATGTGTTCCCTCACTCCCCCACTTTGTTTTTTTAACTGTCTAAATAACAGGACTAAAAGGAGCCAAAACAATTGCTATGGAGAAGCAATCAGAGAAAGGCAAGACTTGGCAGTCTGAAATAGACACTGAGAACAAACTCAGTGGTATTTGCTTCACTTGGGTCATATTTGTTGTCAGGATTTTCACAGTTGTGCTTGTTGCCATAAGAATGCCTGGATTTGCCTTAATGCTCTGTTTGTGTGTTAGATACTTATTCCCCCACTTGCAATAACATCAGTTTGTATTGGAAAAGCTTTCTTAATTTTTATCTTCTGAGGTTTTCTGTTACAGTATTGATTTACATCTGATTTTCATTGAGAGCTAATGTGTAGATTGAAGAGCTTTGAATGCAGAGATCACAAATACGTGGCAGATACTTTGCTGGAGGGGCCAACAGTATATGAACAGTGTAAAGTTTTGACTAAAGCATAGTCAGAAGTTTTAGATGAAGTCAAATGTTGCAAGTGCAGTGAATATGCTCTCCTGAAGAAAAGAAAGTCTTATTTTGTATAGGAAAGCCACATGGACATGATGACAGTTACAGTTGATGTGTCCTCGCAGACAAAACCCCCTTTGTCGGGATGAACTATTCCTAATCTTTGTACCTTGTGATCCTAAACATCAGTGTTTTATCTGGGAATGTGTCTTTCTATACCTAAGGATCTATTTTTCACACAGAATTCTCAAAATCTTGGGATTATTTAGTCTCTTCACCCACAATGGTGTCAGCCAGGAGGAACTGGCAACTAAACATGTTAAGAGGAAATTCTTTTGACTATTCCATTGCAACCTTCTCTCAGGATCTGCCTCAGGAGCTTTTTAACCTCCTATTTTATAGGTCAGATAAGGTGAATTAGTGCCCTTCAGGCCACAAATGTCTCTTTTCAAAGTCATTAAAGTGAGACTGTTTGGAAAAGCTACCAAACAGGAAACCCTGTTGTTTCAAGGAGCTGTTTGAAGTTTTAGTGTCTAAAATTAGATGTCTTTTTTCTCATACTTTTGAGAAGTAACTCTTGACTGTAGTATTGCAATAAGGTAACCGGGCTTTCATTACCTGCAATGTATTGCTGTGCTTTGAGTTAACATTTTTGGGGTGTTGTAACTGTGGGTTTGAAGGGAAAAGCCTTCTAAATGTATCACAGTAGTTCAGTGATTTATAGTTTAATTCTCATACCTTCTTCTGGTTTTGGTTTGTGTCATAGTTCTGTCCTTCTCCTACAAGAGGTCCCAGCAGTGCTATCGGAAGGTCTCGCAGTGGTGCACTACCTGTGCTGCCCTAGGGCTGTTGATGTCCTCAGCTGTTGTAGGAGAAACACCAGACCTGGAACCCAGTTTGTTACTGGTAAGGAGTAACTGTCTTGGATTTTGTTTGAGTATTCTTTTAGTATGAAAGTTTGCGTTGCTTTCTCTAGCAGCATCAGTAAAACTCTCTCCACTGCTTATGACTTCAAGAACACGATAGCAACATGTGCATCTCTGGTATGGTTTTGCCTTTTTTCCTCCTGTTTTTGACTTCACAGCTTCTAAATTTCTTCTCCTGATTACCAGTTGCCCCCCTTCCAAACTGTGGAGGCAAAGAGCTTTTCCTTAGCTTTCATCTTCAGACCTGGTTTTCTCTTGCAATTCTTCATGTGCTGTCAGAGCTACTGAAGGTTAATCAATGGATTTTCTTAAGATCCCTTCCAAAATCCTGTCTTTTGGCTGCACTTCTGTAGTGTCCAACTTCTGCACTTTGCTGGCCCTGTAGCTTCAGGTAGATGGTTTGATATCAAAGGCCGAAGCCAAGTTGCTGGTTTAAAGTTTTGGAGTATAGAGTGAAATGTTTCATGATAGCTCCTAGTTATTTTATGTTCTGCTTATTGGGGTTGGATTGTGCTTGTGGCTTGTGTTTGGGTTGTGGAAACAGCTGTGACACTCTGGTGCATGACTAGAAGCATGTAGCGTTGTGAGTGTCCTTGTTGTTCTTGCTGAAATTTGCTGCCTTTTAATTCCAAATTGCATCTGGATCAGTGTATTTTCATGGTAAAAGCACTTGTAAACTGATGATATGGTCTTAAATGCTTCATGTTTCCTGACTAAGTCTAACCAGGACAGACGGGGAGTTGAAGTCTCTTCCTGCCCTGAGTCTGATTTCTTTGCTGCTGTGTTCTGGCTGCTGAAGGTGTGATGCTGCCCAGCTCCTGCTGTTTGAACTTTACTCATAGCCTCTCTGGTTTGTAACTACTACAGAGATGCTAAGCAGAGATGTTGTTTCAATGCTCTTCCTCAAACACACTTGGGAGGAGAAGACACTGCTTGTGGAGCTTTGTACCGTGAAGCTCATGAGCAGAGTCTTTGCAAAGAGTTATCCTGAGTCTTGTGCTTTTCCTCCCCATTAGGAGGGTGAGGGCAGGTACCATCCTTTGCTGTTGCTAAGGTTACGTTGGGGTTTTTGTGCTCTGTTCCTGTCTGCGCAGGGCACTTGGGCAGGAGGAGTCCTCTGCATTTCTGTTGTCTTTACTTGCATAAACGTGAAACTCCTTACACAGTGTCATGTGTGAGGCGGCGTTTGGAGCCCGATCTCACCTTACAGAGCTCCTTTGCAGAGGAATTCAAAAAATGCTGGAATGTCTTGGGAGTGGAGACGTGGACACAGGGGAAGCAGAGAAGTGGGGTGTGTTTGTTGGCTTTTCGTATAAGAAACCATTGGAGTGAACTGGAGTTCTTCCTTGATCTGTTTTTACTTTTCTCTGAAGGGAGAGGGGGGAGGAAACAACACATTTTTGGTTACATTCCAGTTGGCATGTTTTCCCTAGGGAGCACAGGGTGGCTGCTGGTGGAGAGCACTTAGGAGTATTTTGGTACTTTGTAACTTGTGTCCTCACTCTTAAGTGTAGAAACATGATTAGAAAGTTCTAACAGACTAAATGTCTTGTAGATTGAATTTTGGGTTCCCTTGTATTCTGAGAGCACAAGTAGGAAACAAACAACAAACCTCCCCAAAACCCTTCTGGTCCTTTGGGGTTTTTCCTTATTTACATTCCCCTGTTTTCTTTCTGAGTAAAAGGAGTTTATTTTTGTTCCCACTATTTCCCTGGGGACTACACTGAAGGGACTTTCATGTGTGTTCTCCATTTCTTGCAAGTGGCTTTATGTCCAAATCCAAATAACGGACTGAGGTTTAGATAAATTAGGTTTGTACCTCTCGATTTTACTGCTGTTTGGGTCAGAGACTTACTGTGGGTACTTACTCTGAGCAGTTGTCTTTGTGAGTACTGGCTACTCCTTTTAAACCTTTCCAGCAGGAGGTTAAGACTGTGTTTATTTAGACTCTTATGTCACCAGGTGATATTTTCATGTTCAAATAACTGTACTGATAGTGCAAAATAAACAGGTTTTGTGGATGTTGTGTTTGTAGAACGAGGTTCATTCCAGCCAGGCTTCAAGATTGTATAAATTATTAATGCTTACTTGAAGATCAGGGTTTTGATGACCTGAGAAAGAAAAAGCTGGCCTCTGCCTTGACAGAAGTTTGCATGAAAGACATTATTTAATCTGTTTTGTTTCGTTCCTTTTGCTGTTACGTACAAGTGTTGTTTGTTTAGGGACAGGGGGTTTAGTTTAGTTGGTTTTGGAGCGGTAACAGCCTCAAATGCTTGTGCTGTCTGTGAACTGACTTATGAAGAAAGGCTGATCTGCTGCAATTTATTCTGTGGAAAACCTACAGATGAGCTTTCACGGCTCATTGGCTTCTTGGAAAGCTGCGTTGTGGCCATGTGCTGTCAGCACTGGCCCAGGCCAAAAGCTTTGAGTAGGTGCTGAACTTTGAAATCCTTCAGTGTCCTAAAAAGAGCTGAGATAAACCCAAAAATACGTCGTTGATCTTTGAGGTCTGTGTCTGAACAGTCTCTGCAGTTGTTGCATCTTCCACAGTGCTTCCCCTGAAGTTTGAAGGGTGCTGCTTTGCTGAAGGACTCTTTCCACAACACGTTTTAAGTGGAGATAAATATCATTACCAGGAAAAGAGGGGAAAAAAACCCCCAACAACAAGCCACAAAACAGCATGTGAAATTGGAACACGAGAGCACAAGCTTTTGAAGCTTCCTAAATTCTTAACTACTAGCAAATTGCCTTAAATTTAACTTGGATTAATTCCCTGGTGATCCTTGACATTAAACGGATGTTCTGGTTTGACATGGGTAGACAGAAAACTAATTAATTCCGCTGAATTGGAGGCATATTTAATTCTCTCCCCCAAAGACCTCTCATTGGAAAGGTGCAACGCTGGGACAGATGCTGAATGTGGAACGATGGGTATGAGGTAACAGACCTTTAGAGAGGAAGATCAAGATGTCTACAATAAGTATTGCTGGTTTGAAAATGTTAACCTCTGTGGGTTGGACTGAACACAAGAGTATCCACATCACTGCTGTGTGCTTGAAAGTGTGATACTGTCCCTGCCTGTCCATGGAGAGGCTACTGCTCTTCCATGGGTGTCTTCCCCATGCGTGTTTCTTTCTCTTCAAGTACTTTGGAACAAGGACAAGTTGTCTTCCCTTTGCATAGAGGAACACATATTGTTATTGGGCTTACTTAGGTTTTTATATTCATGGTTTAAAATGTCAAGTATTTTTGTCTCTTGCTCAAAAGGTACCTACCCACCCTCTGCTCTTGTCCCCAGTGTCCTTGGTGATGTGGGTGAGTGCAGCACAAGGGCTGTGGGATCTCACCACAGTGACACGCTTTTGTTCAGCCATGCCTTGCCTGGAGGGTCTCTGCTGTCAAGAGCCTGGTGGGTGGGACAGAGGCCACTAAGGAACCTTGCATGGATTCTGGTTTTGTGCTTGTCTTTATCACAAATCCCTTGGGTTGGAAATAAAGTCACAGAAAAGCTGTTTCCCAAATAGGCCAGCAAGTGCTCTGTGCAGAAAACACACTGGATTAGTCAATGCCTGAACCTCAAACTGGTCTGGTCTAAACCAAAGGGAGCAAAAAGACAAACAGGCAAAGAGGCAGCTTAAACAAAGGACAAGGTCTATCTAAAATAGTCTGTTCCCAACAGTGAAGGGGAAACCAGCCACGGAACTAAGCTGAACCAACATATGAAATAATAAATACATAAAATCTCGAGGAATTGGTATAATTTCCAGGTGAAAAACATGCAAGAAGAGAAGCTGCTGTTGCATAAACTCACAGAAGTGGGTGAAGACACTGACAAATCCTCCTGATCCCACTCTCTATTAAACTGAGGAAGAAAGAATGGTCCTTGTGGGAGATTCCCCCCAGCCCCTAACTAATTCTAGGGAGCTGATGTCTTGGAATATGGACTTTGCTGCCTGTGAAGGAACAGCAAAGGGAAATGCCATATCTGAACCCTTTTGATGGCTCCATAATTGTATGCTCTGAGGTTTTCTTGAGGTTTTCTTGCCTCTTCCTCTGAACCATGTGGATCTGGCAGCTGTTGAAGGCAGGATTGGTGATGGACAACTCGCTTTATCCTATGTGGCAATTCATATTTCCTGGAGGGACTAAGCTGACTCCTCGCCTCCTAAAAGTAGCTGTGGCAGTGGTTTGTGGAGTAAAGAGAAGAGCGAACTGTCATTCCTTCTTAAGAGGTGGTTCTCTCCAGCACAAGGAGGTTGGGAAGAGGTGGCAGCCACCTTGCATGAGAGCTGCTGGGCTGGCTGGTTCCATTTCAGCCTTCTGAGGCCAAACCCCTGGAAAATCGGTTCTTTAGGTGGAGGTGTTTTAATTCTTGGATTGATTTGTATTGATTTATTTCATGTATTTGAGATGGAGGTGGCTTCTGTGTGAGAACTTGATTTGAAGTCTCTGGGCAGATTTCAGTAGTGAGTAAGTAGCATTCAGACAATGTAGAGCTACACTATCATTGACCTTTTCCAGTTCAGATAGAAATAAGATGAGCTGCTTTCTGCACTCTGTGCTTAATTCCATGGAAAAGCTGTATGGCTTTGAAATAATGAGCATCAGTTCAGCCTGTCGGTGGTGCAGGAACATGGACCTTCCTCTCTTGAGGGAAGCAAATGCTTCTCAATGACCAAGGACTAGCTTGCAGATGAGCACTTGTGACACTGCTGAAGAGGCAGCTCTGTTCTTGTGGAACTGGAGATGCTTGTGCAGGCATCTTGCATAACTTGAACTCTTCACTCATCAGGTGGCTCTCTAGAAGAAAGGTCTGTGCCATGTATGTTCCGTGGTTTCCCAGTGGTGTTGGCTGAACTGTAGCTGCTCTGCTCCTGTAGATGATGACACTAGCACAGACTAGGAGGAATAAGGTTTTACAGATTGTATTCCCCAGCACAGGAACCCACTTGGAGGTGTCAGGACACTTTCTCAATCGTGACTGCTGTGAGCAGTCAGGACAGATTGGCCTGAATTTGTGTTTGAATCAGATGCATGTCAGAAAGTTACTCCAAGTCACATCAGCCTCTTAATGACAGTGCTTATATTTAACTGTGCATGCTTTGAGACAGTGCAGCCTCAGAAGTGCAGTGGTTGTGGTTTTATCAGCAACCACCAGCAGCCCAAATCCAAGCTCTGGTGCACGGGCTTGCCCATAATTACTTTTGGATTTGGTCTTGTCAGCAGATACCAGTTTTACAGTTGTATGATGACATGTGGGTCCAGGTGCTAATTTTACAGTTGGAACTTCTTATATTGCAACAAGTTTAAGTTTTAGAGAGGGAGGAGTTGGTATCCCTCACATTGTGTGACAGCTCAGTACTCCTGATGAGCTGCACCATTAAATCACTGTTAACCAGTATAGAAACCTTGATAGCAGGTTCCAAGTAAGTGATTTAAGCTAGATAAAATGGCAGAAATCAGCACTGATGTGTCACTTCTCTCATGTTTGTACTTTGCTGGTGGGGTAACATTCAATCTGAATCAACATACCCGCATTCAAGACCTTTTCCTCTGTTTTGGGGTATAAGAGGAGGGTAATTTGGAGCATAACTTACAAGACAACATGCCTCTTGCCATGCTGCTGGCACTAACTAGCCTTTGTTTGGATAATGCTGCCAAATGTTATGAAAGGTGATCAGAATTCATCTCAGCTTGGTGGATGCTTTGTGGTTTTGGTCACAAGCATCCTTACTGTACATGAATGTTCAGGTGAGCATTAGCATTTCTCTATCCTCTACAGTATCTTGGGGTGATTTAGGGTAAACTTGGAGATATAAAGCCAAGGAGATAACATGCTTTATTGCCAAGTTGAAGATCTCGTGCTTATAAGCAGTTCAGCTTCAAATAACATTAATTTCGTAGTTCTCATCTATTGCCAGTTTAGTTTGGGTGGGGACTTCACATTTTGTGATCTGTAGTCTTGGATCTGCTTATTGCCCTTCTGCCTTGCATTGTATTTATAGCCACTCCACAGCAATATAGAGAGGGCAAGAGCTGGTTTCAATTGACTTTTGCTGTTGGAGGGTTTCAGCTATTCAGTGTGTTATACATAATACTTGTTCCCTTGAGGAAGTAGCGTTACAGAGTGCTCCTCAGCAGTTTGTCTCCATCAGCACAGTTTCAAACCCAAACTTCACTGAACTCCAGCAGTAAAAACTGACAGTTCTTTTACCCAAGTAACTTAAGACAGGTTTGCTTACAAGTCTGTAGTCATTTAAAGAAGTGTTTCTCCGGGATGTTATGAGCCGCTGGAGGACTGAGCTTCAAATCTAATCCCCTTTTTAACATAAATTATTTGAAGTCTGGTAAAAAGAAGCTGCATCATGGGATGAATGTGTGGTGTTTCCAGGCAGGGCCTGTATTTTGTGGCATCCTTTCAAGATGAACTTGTTACTTCATTTGGCACAACTTGGGGTTTGTCTGAGTCTTTGAAAAATCTCTGTCAGCTTGTAGTGGATTTTGTAATCCTGTCATTTCCTTCCCCATACAGGACTTGTGGAAGAGGAAACACAAAGCTTTCCAGATGAATAACCGCAAGGAAGATATGGAGATCGCGTCCCACTACCGTCACCTGCTGCGGGAGCTGAACGAGCAGAGGCAGCACGGCATCCTCTGCGACGTCTGCATCATAGTGGAGGGGAAGATATTTAAGGCTCACAAAAACGTTCTGCTTGGGAGTAGTCGTTACTTCAAAACACTCTACTGCCAGGTACAGAAAACCTCTGACCAGGCCACTGTCACCCACCTGGACATCGTGACTGCCCAAGGCTTTAAAGCCATCATTGACTTCATGTACTCCGCACACCTCGCGCTGACCAGCCGGAACGTCATTGAGGTGATGTCAGCTGCGAGCTACCTGCAGATGACAGACATTGTCCAGGCCTGTCACAACTTCATCAAAGCAGCTCTCGACATAAGCATAAAGTCTGATGCCTCGGATGATCTCGTTGATTACGAACTTGGAGCCCCCTCCAGCAGCAGTACGGATGCTCTGATTTCGGCAGTGGTGGCTGGCAGGAGTATATCTCCCTGGTTAGCTCGGCGCACGAGCCCTGCAAACTCTTCTGGAGACTCAGCCATTGCCAGCTGCCATGAAGGAGGGAGCACTTATGGCAAAGAGGATCAAGAACCAAAAACAGACAGCCACGAAGACATTTCATCCCAGTCTCTTTGGTCTAGTGACATGGGCTATGGCTCTTTACGGATCAAGGAGGAACAGGTTTCACCGTCGCATTACGGAGGGAGTGAACTGCATTCTGGCAAGGATAGTGCAATACAGACTGTGTTCTCAGAGCAAGGAGCAGGGGATGGCTGGCAGCCCACGGGGCGCAGGAAGAACAGGAAAAACAAAGACACTGTGAGGCATATCACACAGCAAGTGGAGGAGGACAGCAGGGCAAGCTCTCCAGTGCCATCATTCTTACCCGCCTCAGGATGGCCCTACAGCAGTCGAGACCCCAGTAAGTTGTTGTTCTGATTTTCGTGGCTGAAATCTATTTGTGGTATGATCTTACCAGTCTCTGAGATAGCTTAGCCTGCCAGAAAAATGCAGAAACCCTGTGCTACCAGGAATTCAGTCGGGAACCTCAGTGTCACAGCACTCTGTCTGTTCTCTGAAAGGAGTTGAGAGTTTTTCTGTCATCTTAAACATACAATGGCCTAAATCACCCCCCAAAACCACCACGATAGAAAAGGCTGGAATTTATTTTAGCAGGTGTGCAAACTGATGTCAAGGATGAAGAATGTTCCTTGCACAGTGTATTGATGATGTAATTACACCACACACGGGTGTAATTTAGCCTGGATGATACTATCTCCAGTACCTCCTGGTATTCAGTGTCACTATCTCATGTGCAGGAAAACCACCACAGCTTGTTGCTGCTCATGGCAAGAGAAATGTTTGGTAACTCTTAAGAATAATGTGTGCTTTTTGAGGTACTACTGAGGCTTAGTCTATTTTGATGTGTGACTACTTGTAGTCTTGGATGAGTGGCTGCTTTTAAAGTATATAGCCAGGGAGAAAAATGTGGTCTTGAGTTCTTTTGCATCTTCAGTAGTTATTTTGTGTCTCAAAATAGCTGTCCTGTTTGATTCATTAATCCCTGGCAATTAATAGATCCAGGAATGCTGCTGATAAAGGAGTAGTCTGGGTGGGTTTTTCCTAAGGACTTTAAGGGAGTGTGGCATCAAACTCCCTCAAGCTGACTTGAAGAGCTCTGTGTGGTGAGTTAGCCTGTGTTTCATTGCATACCAGAGTCCAAGCCAGCCAGGAGGAGGGCGTGTGAGATTATATACCCTTATGTTGCCAAATTCAGATGAAAAAGCAATATAAATAGTACTGAAAGTCTGAAGAGTCTTTATGGGCTGGAAAAGGATCTTTAAGATGCTTATATACTGGAGTTTAAATGTGGTTTTTATTGAAGGGGTAACTCTCTACAAATGTCTTTAGATTTACTATGTTTCATGGTTATCTGCTGCTGCTGCAAGCTTGCATGTAATTATTTTAATTGCTGATGATAAAATCTACACAACAGCAGTTAGAAGAAAAATGGGAGATAACTTGAGATAAGTGATTTATAATGAATGCTGGGTTTATAATGTGTGTATTTCAGGGTTGTTTTGAAGCAAGACTCGATGTGGAATTTAGGGCTGTTTTGAAGCAGGGTTCAGCATGGATTTGAGGGTTGTTTGGAAGCAGGGTTCAGCATTGATTGCCTGGTGGGTTATTTGCATGCAACTGACTTTCACTTCCATGACATCCCATAAAAATAGCTCAGTCACTTGTACTGTCCAACGGGTGTTGTGGGGCTTGGAGAGGTCAGTGCAGTAAACCCCACGTGTTGGGTAACTGCAGTAGCACAACTGCAGCACTGACTGGTTTAGCCAGCTGGGCATGGACTGAAAACCATGCAAGACATAAGGGATTGTCTTGCTGGAAGCTGAATGAAGTTTAGATTCCTTAATTCCTATTTGTTAAGGAATTTAGTGGTCTTTTTCTTGACAACAGTTTGTAAAGGAGAGGAAGGTGGCTTTGGGTGTTGGCTCAACGCAGCGCTGACACAGCGCATTGACAGGCACAAGCAGGTTGTGCCAAATCTTGTTTTAAAGGTGTTTTCCAATAGACGAGGTGTTTCTAATGATGGGAGAGGGGAAGCTCAGTGGTGGTGGCTGTGGGAGTAGTTCCAGTATTCCACTAGTGCTGATAAAGCAAAGGGGAAAATTGAACAGCAACACAACTTGGAATGGGTGCATATGGACGTAGCACCAAGGAGCATCTCTACATGCTTCCCCTAAGGGGCCCTGCATGTGTCTTAGGTCACATTTTCTTGTCTTTTGGTAGATTTCTTTATATTTTTTTTTTTTTTTTGGTATTTCAAATATTTTGAGATCTTTACATATTCAGTTTTGGTTAACACATGGACATCTTGTCAGCAGCAAGCCTACATGTGCTGTGTGTGTAGATGTGTGGTTTGGGTGAAATCAGAACTGGTCCCTCGAACCATCACTGTCCTGGTCCCTACAAGCAGTAGGGTCTTTTGGTCTCACACTAGTATTTCCTGTCTCCAGCCCTCTTGTGAACTGCTCCATCTCCTAAGTTGAAAAGCCCCAGGGTTCTGCTTGGGTTGCTTCTTGGTACCCCAGGTTCTTCCCTCTCCTGCTGGAATTCAGCAGTAGTGTAGAGGTGCCACCAACTTAGCTCCTGTGCATGAAGAAAACTGGATGCTCTCATGTGAAAAGTGTCTGCACTGCATAACACGTTTGGGATGTGTTTAAATCTCAGCTTGAAGTTGGCTTTGATTTTAGTAGTGTCAGGGTTCATGCTTTAAAACAGACTTCATAGTCCAGGGCTCTTTTTTTCCCTCATCCATTTGGAAATATCCCTATACATACTGGTCATAGCTAAGATGAAGAGGTATTTGTTTGCTGAGGAAATGGGTGTTGAGTGGTCTTTCCTAAGTAGCTAAGAGGAAAAATGTTACCTGGGACTCTCTGTTCTTTGGCTCATTCACTCTTTTGATCTATCCAGTTATTTTAAGACGCTGCTTGCTAAGTCTGAAAGCCTCCATTGTGGGATAATTTGGGTACCATTTGCAAAAGCCTCTGTTCTGGAGGACTAACACAGCCCTTCTGGCAATGCAAAAGCTGATTAAGAGGGTCCAAAGCTCAGTGTTAGTGTCGTCCTCCTTGAATTGCACAAGATGCTCATTTGGTCTTGCTTGCAGGGAGCACTGCGTTTCAGCAACATGCAAGCAATGATTTGGAAGGTGGATCTTGCAAGTAACCATTGTATCACCCTTTTAATTCAGTGGTTATTTGGGGCACAGATAAAAATACTCTCCTATTCCTGTTTTATTCAGGATTACTTCATTTATGTTACAAAGAAGCATGTTGCAGTCACTGAAACTCTGCGGTTGGAACTAACAGCTCGTGTACACTTGGTAGTGGTGCTTCTTCCAGGGGGAAATCTGTTCTTATCAGTGCAGACAGAGTGTACTAATGTGTCCCAAATGCATGATAGGCTGAACTTAAACATGAATCTGTGGGGCCTCAGAAAGACACAGTGTTCTTTTAATTGAAAGGATAAAAAGGTTCTTTCCAAGTCAGTTGATTCTTTTCCTGCTGCTGCAGAGAGTCGTTGAATTTGATCACACTATGGATTAAAATAAAAAGGAATGTCTGGAGTAATCTTATGAATGGTAATCTAACATCATGGAAACAGCAACTAAGCAAGAGATTCCTAATGTCTGCCGTGAAGAGTGTATCCTCTTCATCCCAGAAGGAATGATCAAACAGAACGTGCAATAGAGCACAAACCAAGTTGGGATGTGGGATTAGGAAGCTCTCAGTCCTTACAGGGTGGTGTCAGTCAAGCCCACAGCTCGATGGGTATCATCTCTCCATCCTAGTTTCAATTTGTTAATGTGGATTCTCTGTTTAGCATAAAACATGTTAGGATTTTATTTCTTATCCTGTTTGGGCTGTTCAGGATGTCAGTCTGTCATTCCTTGTATGAAACAGTCCCATACCCAAGCTGCAGTAACTTGGAAGAGCAGTTCTCCAAAGTAAACTGGCTTTTATAAGTAACAACTTTCTTCCTAACTAAGCCAAGATGAATTTCCTCCACAGCCCTGAAAAATAACAGGTCTGCCTTTTATTTTAACCTTTTCTTCTTGAATTTTGTAGGTTTTCTAAAGAAACATCTTGGTATTTGTTAGCCTTAAAGGTGTTTATGAAATTCAGAAGCGAAGATGCCCTGAGCATCTTCGTTTTCCTTCACTTGCTGTTCCTTTGCTGGATGAGGTTTTTACAGGGTTACATGAGTATGTGGGACTGTGGGTCTGGGTGGCATTTAAAAGCTTCTCACCAAAGAGGACATTATCTTCACTAGAAGAGCCTTTAAGCTGACAAAACGTTGCTGGTTTTACCTCTCCGTACACTGCAAAACTCCATCACTCAGAGGGTGTGTTTTGAAGGATTCATTGATGGTTTTATTAATGTGTTGGTTCAATCACAGGAGTTGTGATTCAGGAGTTTATTTCTTAGGAAATACTCCCACACATCCTTGGAGTGTTTGCACCCTGAAGCTGTGAGTGGATTCGTGTGGCAGTTGACTGTGAAATGAAGGTGATTGTTTTCAAGGCAGAACAGTGGGGTTTAAAGCTGCTGCAATTTGGGAACTTCCTGCTTTACTGTGGTTACAAGCAGTGACATTTGTTTAGTCTGTCGTAAGAGCTTCAGGAGTGAAGCAGTGACCTTCATGGGAAGGATGGGCAGGACTTCAATGGATCTGCAGAGCTCCAAGGTCCTTTAATATTTATCACCAAACTCTTTAATTATGCACAAGTTTCCTCCTTCGTGCTGAGGACACGTTCAGGTTCATCATTTTCCAATGGCACGATCTGATTTCAGCACCTGCTGCAGGGAGTTGTGCTGCTGCCCCTCCAGCAGCACTGGAGGCAGCTCCTGGAAATGCCTTTTCCTATCCCTTTATACCATCTAGAGCTTGGTCTGGATGAACTCTCAGCTAATTTGGTGCAGATGAGGCCTCGGGACCTGCCTGAGTGCAGGTAGGTGAATGTGTAGGTGCTTTTAGGGTGGTTTTATTCTTGCAAGTAAGTCTTTTTCTCAGCAAACTCTGGGGCTTCCTGGAACTCTTTCACGTTTTCACTGCAAATCATCCAGTCATTCCTTGATTATTTTTAATTACTAGTATTTTAAGATGCCATTGTTTCTATTGTGATACTTAACAAGCAGGTTAGTCCAAGGAGTGGAATAGAGCTCTTGTATAATGGGAAGAGGAAGCAAAATGAGTGTAGTGTTTGTATTCAGGTGTTCAAGCAGCACTTCAGGATTTTTGTTCTGCAAAACCTGTGTAATGCTTCTGCCTTTACATGATGCTTTATAAATAATCTATTTACCTGTCCTGAAGAGCTGAGTGTTTAAAAGAGAAGAAAAAAGA